ATTTTATCCGGATATTATTAGATCATTTGTGATGACATCAAATAACATCCAAAACAGATACTTGCATTATTTTCTAATTTTTACACAAGCATGATAGTACTCCCTCAGCTAGACATCCCATACACTTTTTGTAAGCTGCAATGGCATTAGGGCAAGAAAGATGTTATCTTCACTGGTTTTTACATTGTGCTGTACCTCATCCATTGGAAAACTTAAGCAAGTAGTACAGCATGCAATAACAGGCCTTGAGTCTTGCCGGACAAACAATAAGGTTTGGGTTTGCAATACAGTGACGGAATTCACACTCACCTATCTCTTCAGTACATTTCCTCACAAATTTCTTTAGGTCAGGTGGGAATCCTCTCCTGTCTGCTCTTACCATTCCAGTGGCATAAACTCTCTCCTGGTAATAACTCTTGGCAGTGTTTATGCTAGTAAAAAAATTATCACAAAATAAGTGATAGTTTGTCATGACTAAGTTACTGGTAAGATCTTTCATGACCCTTGCTCCCAACCCCTTTTAGTAGTTGTTTTCTTCCCTACGTATAATTTGAAATTGCGAAATGTACTCAGTGATACTATCAGCTCAAATCTAAACTTTTAACCCTCTCCTTATAGGCTTTTTGGGCATATACTGTATAAGAGAACATTTGCCCTTGTAGGCCACCATTGCCTCATTTGTGGCACATTCTCTATCTGGATGGTAAAGAGAAGCAAATCTTTTCTCTATCATATCTATTACTTGTTGTAACTTAGAAATGCAGTCTGTATTACCTTGTTAAGTGATATGTATCATTACTGTCTGTATTACCTTGTTGAGTGATATGTATCCTTATCAACAAAGTGAAGGTAGTGGTGTATCTTCAAATACATATCTTTGGTCATTTTTTCAGACATGCCTTTACAGATAGAAAAAGATTCTCTTTTCCAATAGTCATGGATTGATGGAAGTTCAACAAGACCCATCATTATCATGACCCTAAAGTAGGCATATATATCCTTGACTTCTAAAATCTCCGCTTCACATACTTAAATGTTTCCATTACTGACTTAGCATACCAATTGGTCTGTCTCACTATATAGTCTACCGGCTGATTTTCAAATATGAGCTCAAACACTCCCCTTACTGTGTCTGGTACTGATACACGTACTCCTGTTGGCTGGTCAAAGTCATTAACGTAAACTGACCCTATTTCATCTGTCCACTGGTAGTCACTAAAATAACTTTAAAATAATAATAGATAACATCAGAATATAAATGTGTTGTGTATTATGAATAGTTATTGCTGTTGCAATAATAATATTTATTTTACAAAATAAAAAATTTTGTATTGTTGTGTAATGACAATGTCACTAGCAGTGATAATAATAGTTTTAATAATATTGTATTATTGTCCTTGTTCTTATTTTGACTGTGTATTTTTGTTCTTTCCGTTGTATTTTTTGTTATTACTTTGTGTCTACCAGTTACCAGTGGTAGAGGTGAAGTCTCCCTGCTTTCTCCTGGAACTGAAAGTGATGATTCCTTTCAATTACATGCAACGTCAAGGTTCTCAAATTGTGTTCTAGAAAAAAGTTTTGTATAGAATTCATTATTACATAGTTTTTTGCAGATCGTCTTGGTCATGCTCATCATCATTTGCCCTACGACAAGGTAGTGCAGTAAAAATATAACATTTTATCTTCTCTTACTCATCATAGTTGATAAATTCGAGCTCATCAACACTTCCAAGATCTGTATCATCATTATCATCATCATCAGCAGTAAGCAAGAGTAGAGCCTTCTCTGCAGTGAAAGCATTTGCCATCTGACAATAATAATTTTATTTTCATGTTTTGTATAAAGAAAACTCAAGTTGCTAAGGACAATAAAAA